GCTTCGAAAATTTTTAGCAGATATGGAATAGGGATGGGGATCTGAAGATCCAAAGCCTTCAAGGCATCTAATACGTCGATACGGCCATCCTTGTATTCAGGACAAGGTACCGCAAGATCCTCGAATCCTGGTCGCCACGGCCCGAGGTCGCTTTCCTCGGTAATCCGTTGGACGTGACGTATCACTCCGATGGTCCCGGGTTCGAACATCACTGCCGCCATATACTCATCGGTTCTTATCTCAGTGGCCGCCGGGGTCACCATCTCCATCGTTCCTGTGTCCATTACCGTGGCTACCCTCCCGTGTCTTGCAGCGGTGGGAGCAGCCAGCGGGATTTGGGAAGGTTCGGTGGGCCCGCCCTGAGTTCGGGGTTTCGGACAATCTTTCGGAAGGTGGCCTGGTTGATTACAATTATAACAGCGTAGGGGAGGGACAGCCCCGGCCACGGACGGTCTTGTCATAGGGGCTCCGGCAGTCATAGCCGCCTGTTTCCATTGTGCGGCGGCTATGCGTTGCCGTTGCAGACCTTGAACAAACTCCGTCATTGGGGTTACTACCGTAACTAGTTGGGCCACGACTTCTTTCATGGATACTTTTTCCTCGCCCCGACCTCCTTGCGTTTGACTAGAGTGATGGGGGGCCGAAGCAGAGGAAGAAGCTTTCCGATCCGAGCCTTTTTTTGCCGGACCCAACCCGAAGCGATCTTCGAACATTCGTGCCGTAGCGGAGTAGCTATTGCGTCGAACACCCGAAGGGTCATCTTCGTCGGATTCTGAGTCCAGGCCCACATCGTAAGTTTACATCCCGTACTTAATTGCTTATTGAATTAGCTCCGTCAGGGTATGTTCTATAGGGTTGCATTTCTTGCGGATCTTTTTCTGCAGACGAGAATCTAACAGTCCTCTAACGAAATCAGTCCGTATCATTTTCTCATCCACCCTAGAGCGTTCGGCTAGGTACGTAAAACGTTCAACATATCTAGCCAAGGTCTCCCGAGGCTGCTGTGTGTATTCCTTTATTAAACGGAGGCATTGACCTGGTGCGATGTGATCAAATCTATCGAGAAATTTCCTCTGGAAGGCTGCCCAATTAGTGAAGGGGTTTTGTCCGTACCATTTAAAAGCGGTTCCGGCTAACCTTCCAATAATTCGTTCTCGGAGCAACTAGTCCGACCAGCCCTGGGCTTTCAAGCAGCCAGCCAGGTGCGAGGATCGGTGTCATCTTCAGAAAAAAAGGAACTTCGGAGGGAGGAGGTACAAAGTACAGGGGATGATTGGCCATCCCCGCGTGGTTGTCGCTGTCGTTTTCAACCCCGATTCCAGGTTCCACCATCGCGGGAGGTGGGTTTCGAGCCCGGCCTCTCGCTCGGTTCTGATTGCTATTCGCAGGCCTCCGTCGACGGGGAGCCAGCCTACTCAAAAATGCGAAAAATCTAATGAAAAGATAAAAAAGAAAAAGAAGAAACTTTAAAATAGGGTAATTGTCCTAGGAAAACCTCGAAGCCGAAACGAATCAGCTCTGATACCAACCTCACGCCCCCTTTTCGTACGGGGTCGCCGATCAGAGTTCTAGGAGGGGCGTGGCCGAGGATTTTTGGCCGTAAGGGTTGAGTCTCCCGGACGGAACGGGAGGCCCTCATTTCGTGCCAGAGGTTTTCCCCAGAGTCCAACTGTCGTCGAGGAGTCCCGTGGGGGTCGGATCACTCCTAAACGATAAACTCAAGAAAGGTTTCCACAAAAATGAACTGCCGTCATGCATCGGGATGGAAAAAGGCATCAAGTGGAGAGGGCCATGACAGCGGAGGACAAAACTTCGGTCGTCAGGGGTTTGGGGGATAGGTTGTGGATTCGAAGCTTTCAGACCTCATCATGGGCCTCACAAAGTGGCCGAACCCTCCGGTCCTTGCTGCGGAGGTGGTTGGTTCGAGGCCTTCAAGCCTCGGCGTCGGACTCACAGAGTCCGCGCGAAAGTTTCCGGGAGGGTAAAGCGGCGGGAGGACTCATCAGGATCTGAATTCAAAATTGCGCGGGCAGCGCCCCCGCACTACGGGAAAGCTTGGGGAAACGTGTCGCTCCCTCGTAACCCAGGACCAGTCATCGCCAAGAATACGAGTTTCCCTCGCGACACCAGTGACAATCAAACTGCGGCTGCCACGTGGCGTGAGCGGCCGACCAGGGCAACACCGTCAAACCCGTATAAGGCAATATTAAAGTCGGGGAATCAAAACGATCAATCAAAACAAACCAATTCCCCCTTATCTCACAAGCTCGAGGCGGGTCCTGCCAACACACTTGCTCCGTCCGCCTCAGCGCGCGCCGTACGTCCGCATCTCAATAGACGCTGTCGTCATCTGCGATGGGGAAGGTCGGTAGCGAGATGAGACGATCGGAGGCACGTGATGAACACGGGCAAGGTCCCGCGTTCCCGGTCATCCGAACCAACACCGAATCCATACAACAGTTGTCGCAACTCCTCTCTCTTTAAGGTGGGTGCGTCGAGGGAAGACGACAAAGTCTAAGCTCTCTCCCCTCTCTCCCCTCGCGGGGGCATCGACCGTCCGCGTGGACGCAAGCGGTTGACGTCACCGGTACGTGGTGGAGAAGCTCCAAAAGCGAAAACTATCAGTTCAAAAAGGAAAGCATTAGAGAGAGAGAGAGAGAGAGAGAGAGAGAGAGAGAGAGAGAGAGAGGGTGAGTTGCACCGAGACCGCGCAAGAGCGCAGAAAAGGCCGCGGAGGGGAGGGGAACAACCGGATCAACACACTCATACTCCTAAGCAGACGGTCCCCCAGTTCAGCTTCCCCATCCCCGCCCGGACGAGTACATACACACATACATGCATGCAATCAACAACTCTTGACAGGACACCTAATCATCCATGAACCTTCGACATCACTCGTGCGCACAACCAGCTCCCATCACTCGGGGCTTCACACACACGACATGCATGGACAAAGCAGCAATGGAGATAAAAGCGATTCCTTCTTGTACACAAAAATTTTAATTAGCTGCGGCCTCCAGGCGCAGCCTTCAAATTTTCCCAAGACCACTGACCACCATAGCCACAAGGCCCTGCCGCGGCAGGCGTCCAATCCCCACCACTGCTCGGTCCCTCCGACTGCTTAGCCCCGATACTACCGAGGGGCCCACCCCACGTCGTCACTCCACCAGTCCTTTCGCTCGTCGAGCCTGTTCGGCGCCGCGGAGTCTCGCGCATAGCTCGCGCAACATTGCAGCCAAGATCAAAGAGAAGGAGAGGAGAGGGCTGCGCAAATTTATAGTGCGGGAGACGGCGGGTTAACAGCGCGAGGTGCGGGCAGCGCAGGGTGTAGATGAGTAGGACAGGAGAAAGAGGGGAGTTAGAGGGTTCCCGACCCGCGGGATTGCATGGCTACATGATTGGGGTGTTCGTCCAAGTGGTGCGCGGTTTCCCGCTTTCCACATTGATCCGAGCATCCCAACTACGCAGCCAATCACTTCACGGAGGAACACGGAGTAAGGATCAAGCTGGGCGTAGGGGAAGGGGAAAACGCGCGCGGCAAGAAGGGAAGATGACGCGAGGATGCAAAGCAAGAAACGGGGATGCGAGACGCGCAAAGAAATCGGAGCTTGGGCGCGCGCGCAAAAATTCAAAAAGTCCCAACCGCACTCGTTTCTTGGTTTTCATACCGCGGCCGCTATTCGCCCGCAGCAGTTATTAACAAAACAAAATGAAAAAGCCATTTCAAAAAGAAAACAAAAGCAAAAAGAAAGAAAAACCCCTTTCCATCCGAAACCGTACTTCGAGGCTTCCGCGGGTTTTTCCTCAGGGATACAGCAAGCCGCGAGGTACGGATCTGAACTTATCACAGGCCCGTTAGAATCCAGTCATCATTCCCCTTTTCCTTTTTTTCATATGGTCCGATGGACCACTGATCAGAACAGATACTACACTTGATCTTCGACATAGAGAACGGCTGACGCCACGGATGGTCCGAGCAGAGGTTAAGTATGGCATTAAACAAGCCATACAGGCAGACTGGGAATACTGGGTACAGTGGTAGGGGTTTAAAAGGGAAGCAATGTTGTACTTAAACCACCAGTACTTGGCCCAGCTATCGGCCGCGGAAAAAAATAGAGTAGAAATGTTTCTAGTTGGATGAATTTGGGCGCTCCTGTAGTGGCCCGTACGTTTCCTAAAATCGCGTACCGTTAAAGGGCATGACTTTAGGAAGTACTGGTGGTTTAACTGCACAGTGGGCTGCTTTGGCGGGGTTGGTAGCAGAGGATTGGCTCCCAGGTCAAAGGCCTTGTGTGCGTTTTTCCGAGGTTTTTGTGTGCCTCTACATAGTGGTTTGCAGACTTGTACAAAGTGTTCAGAAAGTAGGTTTTCCCACACATGAAGTTACGAAAAAAAAAAAAAAAAAAAAAAAAAAGATAGTATAGACTATTGTAGGATAGCACTTGTAATGCTAGAATAAAATGTAGAGTTGATGGAACTTCATGGAAGAGATGGTGAGAAGGAGGAATTGTGCACTTGAAACAGTCGTGGCACCAGCTTTGCCTGGCAAGAGAGCGTCGCTCACCTCAGAGCTGCAGAGAGTTTTGTAAGGGATGCTGGGCCTGCTTTCCAGCTTTGATATAAAGGGGCTCGTTCGACACTCCTCGGGGCGTCCTCGGGCCCCGAGGACGATTCCTCGGAGTCGCCCGAGGAAATTGTCGCCTTCGTTCCACTCATCCTCGGAGTCGACCCCCGAGGACGATTCCTCGGGGCTCCTGCGGCCCCGATTTATATATGCATAAGCGGATGCGGGGGTGGGGCTGACGGTGGTCCACCGAGTTGTGTCCGTGCGGACGGCGGTGGTCCACCTTTGTTGGCCGTCGCGAATTGGAAGGAGGGCGGGAAACGAAAAAAAAACAAAACCRGGGCCCTTGGAAATGGCGCGCAGCGCTCCTGTTCAAAATTTGAAATTTGAAATCAGGCTTTGTGATCGCCGGCGCGTGGAGGACGTACGTTTCAGGCGTGGTTGCGTCTGCGGCTGGCGTTCGTGTCGTTCGCATAAGTGACGATAGTCCCCTGCGGTTGTCGTCGATGAGCACGGTCGTTTACGCGTCGGCGGCAAGGGAGACAACATCGAAACGTGAGCGTTGGGAAAGGCAGACGACCATCGTCAGTGCGTGGCTCCCAAGATATTGCACAGCCACCGACGCTGTGATCTTGCGTGTGGCGGTGTTTGTGGAGTCCAGTGTGAATCTCGTGATGTCATCGGAAGCGGCGTCTGGGATGGACGTTGACGGCATGGCACGACGTGGTGGTTTGACGATGGCGGAGAGGACGGCTATTGCTGCGGTGGTTAATGCCGTCCTCTTCCGCTGCCAGATGGCGAGCAATAACGCGAACTTCAAAGCGAATGTTAGTGCACGGCGCAAGCTCATGGTGCTTCCGACGACTGGGCAGTGCTTGGATGTGGCTGCCATTTCCGACGGGGTGCTGGAGGTCTGCCACGCGATGGGGTGCGGGGGGTTTCCATGGGCGACTCCACGGTGGTGGGTGAAGCGGCGAACCGGCGGCATGTGGGAGGATATGCGGCAATGTGATGACGCCACCGATGATTACTTCAAGGAGAAGCTTCGAATGTCGCCTCGTGTTTTCCGCGAGATCGCGGAGACTCTTTCCCCACTCCTTGAACGCCGTGTGACGTTTTACAGGGTGCCTTTGCAGCCAGACCACATCATTGCGTATGCACTGTACAGGTGGGCGACGGGGGAGACGTATGACAGCGGGACGTGTAGCTTCGACATCGGAGGGCTTCCGGCATCACGGCGGTGCGTGACGTCACGGCGGCGTTGCTGACTGCTTACCCCGACAAGATATCATGGCCCACAGGTTCGCAGAAGGCAGTCGTGTTGCGCGGCTTCACGGACAAGGGGTTTCCAAACTGCCATGGGTGCATCAACTGCACACATATCTACATCAACAAACCCGCGAACGCCAACGGTGAGGACTACTGCGACAGGAGACTTCGATCCTCCGTGCAGGCGCAAGTGGTGGTCGACATGAACTTGTGTGTGCTGGACGTGTTCGTCGGTTATCCGGGGAGTGTGCATGACATGAGGATGCTGAACCTGTCGAGTTTGTGGGTGCGCGCGGAGTCAGGACAACTTTTCACTGACCCGCATGTGATGCTGCCTTTCGGTGTGCGGACTAATGGCTACTTGCTCGGCGACAATGGTTATCCGCAGTCGGAATGGATAGTCGTCCCTTACGGCGGTCTCGCGCAACACCCGACGGAGGCACGCTTCGACAACAAACAGAAGACGGCCAGGGGAGCAGTGGAGAGGGCGTTTGGTAGACTGAAGCGGATGTGGAGGTTGTTCCTCCGCACCCACAAGTGCAACATGGACAGCTTGCCGCAACAATTCATCGCCGTCTGCATCCTCCACAACATACTCATCGACGTCGGCGTCCCGTTTGACGACAATCTGTTGTGGGAAGTGGGTCCAGACGGCGTGCGTCATAGAGTGGATTTGGGGATGCATCAGCCATTGAGGCCAGTGTGCATGGACTCTACGACGGGGGATGCGCTGGTATTGAGGGACGCGTTGGCGGAGCGGATGATTGTGCAGTGAGGTTGGTCGTGTTCGCAGTTGGAGACCCCGCCATGAATGGAACGAGTCTGAGGGACGAAGCTGTAAGAAGCGGGGGAGCACCGAGGAGATCCGGTGGCGGGAGGAAGTGGAGGTGGACGTCCCACAGCAAGAGGCGGTCGACGATGGCAGTCTGACCGTGGTAGCGTCGTTCGAGCGAGATGTGGCCGGCGTGTCTCGCGTGGTCGGTGCGGTTAGTTGTCCAGTGTTGAGTGCCGACGACTGGCTTATGTGCGTTGTCGCTTGGTTTTTAGTTGTCCAGTGTTGAGTGCTTGTATTTTTTATTTGTTTTTTTTTTCTTTTTTTCCTTGTCCATGGACAGGGAGTACGGGCAGGTTAGCGTTATTGTTCGCTCAGGTAGTATAGTTGGTGCTTGCGGATACTGCTATTATGGCAGGTGCGCGTGACGGGGTTGCACGTTCCAT